GGATGTAGTACAAGCAGTGGCACGCATACCTATGGAATTTGAAGCACATTCTATTTGTATATAATGCACCAATGGTCTGACATAGACAAAAGCAAATACAAGCATTGACAGTGTCACTGAGGGCTGAACATTGGGTTCACAAGCCATGATAAATTCCTCTGAGGGACAATAGTTCACGGGGGGTGTGTACACTGGGGGGGTACCAGTAAGATAGCTTTTTATGCCTTTCTATATAGTTTTTACCCCTCCTAGTTTTCAGGTGCTCCTTGCATTGCCCGCCGACTGCTGGTGGAAGGCCTCAGCCGCTACCGCTTTCGGAATGCTTAGTCATACTCGGTGATCTCGGGGAGACGATTTCTTCCAGCCGTCCTATAGCGTTCTCCTCCTCTGTTCGTTCTGTATCCGGTAATAAATTAGAAATAGATTTGTATTACATAACATTGCACGTGCGCCCTAGTAAAGGAGGAGCGAGAACGCTAAGGACGGTGGTTTAGGAGCCTGAGTATACGGACACCCCGACATCATGATTCAGAAGCTAAAATCACGAGGACTAAATGTCGATAGCCTTCCCACAGGAGGATGTATGTCCAATTACAATACGGTCAAATGGTACATGCTAGAATTAGAGGCACGTAGTACGCCTATATTTTCATAGCTCTTCGCGCACCTTCTCCTCCACCTTCTCCACGACCTCTTCTGCCATCTCCTTTGCGCTTTCCGCTTTCTCCGCAGCGAAAGCAGCGAGGACGTTCGCTTTGACCCTGATCTCGTCAAGCTTCTGCGGCGAAAGTGTGCGCTTCTTCAAGATGGATGCCAGTCTACAGACCAGACTACTCAGTATCACCCCATAAGTAGGTTGGAGGAAAAATCTGACCGCTTCGACTCCCGTTCGACGTAGTCCTCGGTGCCGTTCACGACTTTCTCCATGACACGGAGGTAGTGCTTCCCCGTAGCACCGGCTTGGGTAGCAAGGCTCAAGGCCTCCTTGAACAGCGAGTCCCGAGCATCACCAGTGGCGATGACGAACTTGCTCGCGATCGTGTCCAGTTCGGGCAACCGGCCAGCCTACACCACGCATGGCAATGTTGTACACTAAGGGAATTGCCAATGCAAGGTACACGTACCATTTCGCTCAGCAACCCACCAGGTGTGCGGTGCGTCCCGCACTTCTGGTTAAGGTATTCGACGAAGCCCTCCTCAGTCCGCGGCCCTTCATACGGCTCGGGGTCCTCCTTGTGGCCCTTGGGGAAGAACTTGATGGTCGGGTAGGAGCTGACACCGTATTTCTCCGCGAGTGGCCGGTTGGGTTGGGCATCGGCGTCAACATTGGCAATGATGCACTAATCATGGTCAGATGGTCGTCAAGGAGAATTTGAGCAAGCGGGGACTTACGTCGGACTCGGCGGCGAAGTCTTCCGCAGCTTTCTCCAGGTCGGGCTTCATACGCTTGCAGTGTCCGCACCAGGGAGCCTAGAGCAATACTTAGCTTGAAAGGCGCCTATCATGTTGGGTGGAAAACTTACAGTAAATGCTACCAGGACATTCTTGGAGTCGTCTAGCGCAACCTCTTCGAACGTGTGCGAGTCCAGAACCTTGTACGCGGGAGGCGGTGGGAGCTTGATCTTCGACTTGACACCAGACTTGGTCGTCACGCTTGTGTTACGGCCGAGTCAGAACAGATCCATGAACAAAGGTGGTGGGCTTACAAGGAAGCAAGGGAATCGAGGTCACGGCCGCTTTCATACGGCTCGGGGTTTCCGCTACCATCGAACCATTTCAGAGCTATACCAAAGAAGCGAGTGTTAGATACAAAACAACAAACAGTGTCAAACGCGAAACGCACTCGGGAAGCCGGAGACTCCATACTTTTGGCCCAGTGGCCGGCCTGCACCGTCAGCATCTACCTTTGCGATGATGACCTTGTCCTTTGCGTGCGAGTAGGCATCTGCTAGTTGTTCATATACAGGGGCAAGATTCTACACCATGATTGTAAGGACTACCAGAAGATCGCGTTCAGTGACAGCTGACCTTGCAGTGACCACTGTGAACCGCCATGCAAACGCGTCATAAGCATTGTTCTCCACCACTGTCCAAAGAGCACGTACCACCACGGGGCGAAGCTACACAAATACAGTTAAGAGCGTGGAAGGACTCAGCAGGAGTGTAGTAAGCGCACTTACAACTCCACCAGGGCAGGCGTCCCCTTGCCAATATGATCATCCCAATTTCCAGGCTCAAGGTCAAGCACGTTGGACGCGCGCACGGCAGCGGCAAGTCCCAGACTAAGGAGCGACCATGACAACCTCATGGCGAACAAAGGTTAGGAGGAAAGAGGGAACTGACGTGGTACTTGCGCGCTGGAGAGCCTTACCGCGACGGTGGTGGCGTGGAAACTTTACTCTTGACTCACAGTGACTACGAAGGGCTTACACAGCGCAGCGATCGACATATTCTCGCGTTTTGGCCCCTTTGATCAGTCAGCGATGAGCGTCCCGCACAGATTTATCAGGGCGACCGGCCTGCACAGCGCTTGCAGCTTGCTCTCCTACACTAACACTACTGTCTGGCATGGCCTCTGAGCGGCCTATGGAAGACGCTGAGGAATTTGGTGAGGGGGAAGAGGAGGCGTACATCGACCAGAATGAAGTGTATGCCGAGGTAGAGGTGGATGGGGACCACCCGATGGACGAGGAGGACGATGGAGAGCAGATGGAGGCGTCAGGGGCTGACGGGATAGAGGGGGACGTGGTTTACGAGGATACCTCGATTCAGCACTTCCCTACGCATCAAAAATCGGTATTCTGCGTGACAACCCATCCTACCGCGCCACTAGCCGCTTCAGGCGGGGAGGACGATCTGGGATACATCTGGGACATCACGACCGGCGAGCAGATTGTGCGATTAACTGGCCACACCGACAGCGTGACGTGCGTTGCGTTCAGCAGCGACGGCGAATTGCTGTCTACCGGGGGCATGGACGGTAAGGTGCGCGTCTGGCGCAGAGTGGGGAAGGAGGATTGGAAGACGTGGGAGTTCTTGACTGAGCTGCAGGGACCAGATGAAGCTATGGTGAGCTGAGGTTATGTCGAACGTGGGATGCTGCTTGCGAGAGCGCTGAATAGTGGTTGAGATGGCACCCCAAAGGACATGTCCTCTTGGCTGGAGCCAATGACACCACCGTTTGGATGTGGCAACGTGAGTCTCATCGGCTTCGTGTTAAGATGAACACCTTATTCACGATTTCCCAGTACCGTCTGGCAACACAATGCAAGTCTTTGTTGGACACACTGGGCCGGTGCAGTGCGGCGAGTTTACCCCGGATGGTAAGCTCAATCCTCGCCCGTCCATGCAAGATTGTTTTTACATTCTCTAGGTAAGCGGATAGTCACTGCGGACGCAGACGGCACGCTCTGCTACTGGGATCCACGAAGCTCTTCCCCGGTCTTCAAGCTCACCTCCTCTGATGCGCGCTTCGACCTGGGCGGCATTACGTCTGTCGGGATCAATTTCACGTCGACAATCGCGGTCGTCGGTGGTATTGATGGTGGTGTCCGCGTCGTCAGTCTGAGTAAAGGTGACATTGTCGGCGCGCTTGCGGCACATAGTGAAGGCGAGAGTATCGAAGCGGTCGTGTTCGTGGACCTCACTGGCACAGGCGCCGGTACCGACATCGTCGTCACGGGGGCGACAGACGGGAAGATCTGCATATGGGATCTGGCCACAATGCGGCTACGAGCAAGTGTGAATCATGAGGTTCGTTCCGCCTTTCGGGCCTTGGCACTCCGAGTCTCTCTATGTTTCCTGTCGTTGATCGACGATGCACTGACGCTACACGTTACGCAGGATGCAGTGGTCTGCTTGTTGGCTCATCCCCCGCCCCAAAGCCACCTCATTGTTTCTGCATCTGCGGACAAAACACTACGAACATGGGACGCTCGGACAGGTACGCTTGTGCGGAGCCATAAGGGACATCACGGACCGGTGCTGGCGTGTGCCCTGGGGCTGGATGGGAAGGTGCTGGTGAGTGCAGGAGACGACGGCGTGTGCTTGGTGTTCGCGACAGAGTAAATAGTGTTTCTGGTACCTTGTAGGCTTGTACATCGAGAAGTTGTTGGAAGCAACGACCTTGACTCGGGCGGACTTTTTGCCGTCTGTCCAATCGCAGGGCGTCCCTACGAAGGCTGTGATTGGATGGAGAAGCAACAAGCCTCGATCGGATCTAAGATCCCCTTCTCAGTTAGGCAGGTCCTGTATTGAACGCTTACACTCGGTTGCCACAGCCAGCGTGCTCTTCGTCAGCTCACGGTCAGCTGCAGCCTTCCTTCTTGGAAACTTACTCATCCTGCTTCGGAGCTATGATTGTTGGGAGGGTGGGGGGCTACAGCGCTTTCCCTGCTACGGCTTTCGGCATTCTACGGCGAAAGTGCGGTGGTGATTGATGCTTGATCAGTGTGTCAAAGGAAAGCTCTGTTAGACGTCCTGCGAGCACTGAGCAAAGAAGGCACATCCGGGTAGGTTATCAACCAGGTACATAATGAACCCGAAAGCTGTACTACTAGTTCATCCGGACTAGCAACGGATGGTTACCATAGCTGTCCTGCATTCGCATCCATACCAACCTCCGATGGTCATCATGCACGTACGATCAACACGCATTCCTCGGACTTGGTTTATCAATGCTTATAAAACACGATGGCTGCTGACCAGAGCTCTTCCAAGCCCTGGTGGTATTCGTATCTCGGAACCTGCTTTTCTTCGTGGATTTGTCTTTATACAGAGCAGGGCTCGCACTCGTTTTACGCTCCATTCTCAATCTTCGTCTCTAGCTCTTCCTTAGCGCAATGAAGGTCTCCGCTGTTTTTGTGTGTCTTGCGGCCATTCTCAGTACCGGCGTCGCGGACGCGGCACCCCTCCGACAGCGCTCGCTCGTCTATGCTCGGAATAATAAAGTAAAGATGATGAATGGGCAGAAGGCCAACTCGTCGTCGTCCTCGTCGGCAAAGGGCGCTGTTTACTGTGAGTCCCAGTCCAAGTGTCTCGTGTTTTCCTGATGCAGATTCTTCGCAGTCATGACCAATGACCCCAAGGAGAACTTCATTATCGCCGCTGACATCGGTTCAGACGGCAAGCTGGTACGCTGTGCACTGCCCTATAATCTGTCATTTATCAATGTTTTCGTTGCAGACACTCAACCGTGCAGTCTCTAGCAGAGGTCGTGGATCTCACGGTCAGACCAGTCCCAATGGCCCAGACGCCTTATTCTCCCAGGGCTCAGTCAAGGCATCTGCAAACGGCAAGATCCTGGCTACAGTTAATGTAATTAGGCCACTACCTTCGACCGCTCGAGTCTGTGCTAACACTCATTGCCGTTCAGCCTGGTTCCAATACGGTCTCGGTGTATTCTATCAACGAGAATAACCCTTCCGAGATCAGTCTCATCGGCGACCCGGTGTCTAGTGAGGGTGAATTCCCGATGTCCCTTGCGATCAACAGCAATGGGACTCAGGTGTGCGTTCTCAATGGCGGGACGGTTAACGGTGTAAAGTGGGTACCTCTTCTACTACGTACGTCGCGGACACCTACTCACCTCGCGTCATTGCAGCTGCTACAAGGTGGACAAGGACGTCGGTCTCACTGCCGTTCCCAACACACTGCGGTCTCTCGGCATCAATCAGACGACACCCGCTACCGGCCCCGCAGGCACAGCATCCCATGTCATCTTCAGTGAGGACGGCAAGTCTCTCATCGCCTCCATCAAGGGCACCCCGCCAACGCCCGGCTTCCTCGCCGTCTGGGACGTCAACTCCGACGGCTCGCTATCACAGGACTTCAAGAAGGTCGCCCCCGCGAGCGGTGGCCTGCTGCCCTTCTCGATGACGGTCATCCCCGGCAAGAATGCGATCCTCGCGACGGACGCCGGTCTCGGCTTCGACGTCTTCGACTTTAGCAGCGGGAATAAGAGCTCCGCAGTGCCGATCCAGGGCCAGTCGGCGACCTGTTGGTCGAGCTTCAGCAAGAAGACCGGCAATTTCTATCTCACTGACATCGGCACTGCCACGGTCACGGAGGTAAATGTAGACGACAACCTCAAAGGGTCAATAGTCAAGGTGGGAGGCTCGAGAATTCCCACTACATCGATTCCGAACGCTCACCACCGTCGTTATGTCAGCAATACCCTCAGAAAGCGGGCTCCGCTACCATTGACAACGACATTGCAAGCATTGGAAATAATGAGTGAGCCGTGATGCCTTTGTGATGCCAAACAATGGTCACTTACCAAAGGTGTTCCCTGTAGCTTCTTGTACGTTCTCGCCCCCAACGCCACGCAGATCGACGTCTTGTCGCTCGACGGTGCAGGCCAGGCCAAAAGCATCCAGACCCTGGACATTGCGGGGCCCGCCAAGGCAGCCGGCCTATCAATCGGTGAGTGTCCCTTGGGAAGGGTGGCTCTCGTCACTGACGATCGGCGAATCAGATCCCTTCAACCTGCAGGGCATGACGAGCTTCGTCAAGAGCGGATAGGAAATGCGCATCAGGTAATGAGGGCCACTGAGGGGCTTCAAGCTACGACAGGATCTGTCGGCCACATATGATTCATCCGCTAGATTGCATACCCTAGGATGAAATTGAGTCGATGGAACATATTGTTGTATCAGTTTTCCTGCGTGCGGACATACAAGGTCTCTTCTCTCGCAGCAGACTCAGGTGAATTCGTAGATGCACTAATACATTGATATCCAAGGTATATTCTACATACATTACTTCAGATCATAATGCAGCACTATAACGCTGGACCTACCGGTAAATTAGAGGTAACATAAGGCCAGACATGGCTAACAGCCGCAGATCATATCATATCCCACTCATCCCAAATTTCGCGGTTTGCCAGAGTTGGCGCCTGCCCAGGGGTCTCTATCTCCGCGGTAGGAGTCAAGTCGACAATCTTCTCACTTGTACCTTCTGCATCGTCTTTGGTGCCGCGCATGACCACGAGAATGGGATCGCTCCGCTTGTATCCGGTGTACACCAGCCGAATATCGCTCCCTTCTATCACCTGCACCAAGCGTCCGGTATGGATATCCCGAATCTCAACGAACTGAGAGGAAAACAGCAGGATATGATCGCCTCTGTAGGCAAAGGACGTGGCTCTAGTCTCCCAACGGAGGAAACCCGCGCGGCGACCCGGCTCACCGTGTCTGGTAATATAGCAACCCAGATCTAAGGTAACTCTCAGTCGTACGTTGCACGCCTACCGGTGGAGACATACCATCATATACAACCAATAGTTCTTGTGAGCTGCATCGAATGATACCCAGAGGTCGCGCAGCGTCACAACGCTGCTTTAGTGTGATGACAGGTAGATTTCCATATGCCTGGGAGAAGTCAGGGATTGCTGATAGAGGGGCGTTCGGACTGTAAGAAGTACATCAGTCGCCTTGAAAGGCACAAAAGATGATCAACGTGCGTCTTTGGATCATAAATCAAGATGTTCTTATCAGTACACACTGCCAGAGTCTTGGCGAGGGGAGTCACGTCGTGCGTGTCTTTGGGGATGCTGAGAGACTTTGCGAGAATAGCATCAGCGAGAAATTCTGTGGGACAACAGGAACGGTGGTAAGGGCTCACCTCGTAGATCGGACGGAATGACAACGCTTCTACGGACGGATTGTGCCTCCGCGGAGTAATGTTGACCCCAGGATCGACCACTTCGACCGTATGAAGGGTCGTTTGCAATAGGAGTGTCCGTACCGCGTAGAAAACTAGCAGAGATCATAAGTCAAACAAGATCCATATTAGAATGGGCACCATGCTTACCTATGGTCCTTTGATTGAAGATAGCAACGCGGAAGAGGACAACATTCCCTTTATCACCACATACTTTCTGCCGTGAAGCTTCGAGCCCCTGAGGAGATGCCTGTCCTTGACTGACGCGCACTATCATATCCAGGGAATAGCTCCATAACGTGGACTCGTGGTGGATGATGAATTGATTGAAATCTTGCAATGCGACTACTGATGTAGGATTGAAGCAGGCAAGAACCTTGCGGAAAGCTCCTACACCATAGTTGAACCCGGGTTGACCATCAGCTATGAGCTTCTCCTTACCTGCTGTTCCAGCCTTCGCTACCGGAGCGAGATAGATCCCCGTCGCACACCCTACTGCAAGATATTTCCGACCCATACTGACTAAGAGTAGTCTGTCAGAGTCGGTGAAGCATAATCAATACGACGGAAACAAACCGAAAGATGCAGCGGCAGTAACTTTCCCCGTAAATTTCGTCCCTGAATTATATGGTATACGGGGCGATATCACACGAAACGATCCGTCGTCAAGGGTGACCGGTGCATACCACTGGGCATACGACGTTAGTCGCTAGAGGTGCCTAAACGTATCTCCTCATCACGAACCATGTTGGCTTCCTGTCTGGCCTTCCTAACAGCGAGCGCGTCGATCAGTGCGGCGTGCCACTTGCGTCGGGATGCCTCAGAGTCGGCATAGAGGGTATACCGGCGCGAGGACTTGGAGGACGCATGATAGACAGTGAAAGGGTACACCGATCTGTAAGTGGGCTTTAATGCTTCCAGTATGCCTCCCTCCTCCGATCGCTCTTTGCGGCTCTCGGGAGGGCTGTTGAAAGACCCCAGACGCAGGTATTCCAAGGGTATTGGCTAGCCATCTCGTTAAAACGCCAATAACTTCCCAAAGAAGAACATCCTACCCGCGACATGATTAGGTGACGGACTGTCCCATTGCGTAATTCTTCTTTCGTCAGGAGCACTGCAGATATGTAAGGCCGGGGTCTCATGTTGTCATGGTATGGGACCTACAATAATTATCAAGCAAAGCGACGAACAAGTCATTCCACCCCGACCAATCGACTTCCGTGCGTTGCCTCCGTGCAAGAGTGCCTTGATGGATCAAAGACCTGCTCTCATCGTAGAGATCCATGTCCTAGGCAAGCGTCATACAGCTGGATTGGCAGGGAGACTCGAGAATGCTCACCACGATCTCCCCCTTGAAGTATACTAGACTCTCGCATAATGACCAGAATTTCACCTTACCCTCAGCAGCTTCTATTCCAGGTTCGGTGCTCTTAATGAAGTCCGTCAGGATACCCAATATCAATGGTATGGTTTCTTGATCTGGATGATCGAGTTCTGTATATTTGAGTACTTGTTCCAGCAGAAGTTTCAAACGGGGGAGGCGGATGATAGGTCGAGATATGAAATCCATCAAATCGCGCTTATACGTTTTCGGATCTCTGGACGCTTGCCGTATGAAGTAGTCATACTCCTGGTTTCGCCTAAGCTCTGACCGATGCCGTCCTTCGGACAAAGGGTAGTGCTTGATATATGTCTCGTACTCGTTCTGGAACAGGAGGCAAGCTAACCGACAAAAGTAAGCTTGGAATCGTATGGAGATGAAGAATGATGCAACGGACTATCCAGTATAATATCGGATATACTTTGTAGGAGGGGATGCTGCTCTCTCTGGCGCTGAAAGAGATCACCGAGCATCCGCTGGTGGTGGGCCAGGATTTCATCCAGATTGTAAAACACTTCCTTGATGAAGCCGCGAAGACGTTCTCTAGGTATTATAGGCGGTTCCGAGTTAACCAGAGGCTGGATATAAACCTGGAACGACGATTAACATTAGTACGTAACACTCACACAGCGTTCGGTACCTCAGAGACAAGTCGCAGGCTGTCGACATAGTCGGCTTCAGTCTTGATGATCTCAAAGAGGACTGATTGTCGGTGGACCTCTTTCTTTCCGAGCGCTTCACGCGCTTCTGGTGGGACGAGGCGGTACCACTCTCGATCTGACTCGGGCAGCTCACCGGACTGAAATCGTCGTAGACCCTCTTCTGCATCAAGTCTATATAATACTTTACATTAATTGGAGCATCTAGTGGACATCGAAAGGGTGACACACGTCAGATTTGAGAGCTCAGCCGACAGACTATCAACCGAGTCGAGGGGTGTCAACTAAGGACGATCGATCGTACTCGTCGCATGACTAGCGATGACAATAGTTTTATTCACCTGTGGACTAAACTCTACCTCTGAAGACGCTATCGAAGGAGCCCGTACAGGACTTGAAGGAGTTGGGTAGGGACCAGGACCAAGGTCGCTCTGGGATGCGCGATGCCTGGGATTCAGCGAGGACCGCCGAGAACCTGACCGGTAAACGCGAGCTTCGGGGAAGACAGGGGCTGCGTCGAGCTCATATGCACTGGCCGCCCGGCTGCGAGGACGTGCAGGTACGCTCAGCCGAGGATCGAGGGGCGTATTCGGGGACAAGAACATGTCCCGACCGTCGCCCTCCGCATTAACGTCCCTCGCGGTCGGACTGTCGAGCTCGAATGCATACGGCGACCACGCAGACGGCGCTGCAGGGCTTGCTGGACGCGCGGCGCTGGGCGCGATGCTAATGCGCGGGTGCGGGCGTGCATTCGGATGATTGTAGGAGGAGGGCATCTGTTGACGCTTGTTTACCGCCGGATGCGCCCATTTTCCAACTTCAAGTCCCTCCCATTACACCATCCATTACACTCTCCTGCCGCTGTTCTCTGTCCCTCTATAGTTCGCTGCAGCAGGGATATTCCTGGTGAGCGGCATCCGCAGGCGTCACTGGAGGCCTCTCTTTCACCGTCAAGAACGCGTGCAGAGCCAATGACATCGTGGACGTAGAGAAGGGACGCGTATTACGTCGGGTTTATTGCATTCTAGGACGCGCAAACTCGTGCATCCCCAGGGTCAGTCCTCATATGCAGCTCTTCTTATAACTGGAGGCGCACTCATTCATGCGCAGTATCCCCATGGTTGAAGAGAGGAACGACTCCTTCGAGGAGTCCGAGTCGCTTTTTGGCTCGCCTCCCCCGTCTCCTGGGAGGCGCAGTTCACCGGGACTAGCCCTCCCCGGTGCTGCGAGTTCTACAGACAATGTGGGGACCATTGCACTTCCTGGGCCTCATGCATATTCTGAACTACCAGTACATCCACCAGACTCACTTCTGAGTGTTGATAACCGTGCTGCCCGTCCGGTGCAAGTACCTCCGCCACCGCGCCCGCAGCAACTACAAGCGATGGATCCGGACGTGGGTCGACGCTCCACGTCGGCCACTCCTGGTCTTGCTGGAAGGCCGCGAAAACCGTCGGACAAGGGCAAGCAGAAGGAAGTACGGTCTCGCACCGGCACCCCTCGACCAACGCCTCCCCCTATTCACATGCCTGACCCCGGTGCGCCTCCGCCACCAAACTTTCTCCGCAATCAGCAAGCTCTGTTAGGCTTGGCTGGGCTAGTCGGTGGTGTCAATCCTGCCAATCTCAACCGGAGCACTGCGGGGTCCGGGTCGAGTTCTAAAAATCCCATCATCGTCGAAGAGGGCCATGAGCCACCGTCTATCGCACAGCATTCCCGTCTGCCTCGTATCGACCCCTCCCAGCTGCCGACTCCCTCCACTGATGCGATCCTTGACACCATGATCAAGCAAAAAAATATATTCCCCGTCCTCAGTTCGATCTTGAAGCTTATCTCGTCCGCCGCTACACCTGCAGCTCCCTATTACAATCCATACCAGTACAGTTATGCGCATTCACCCTCTCCTACCCCTTCTGCCGAAAACGATGGCCCGCCCCCCGCGAAGCGGAAGAAGGTCACCAAAGTCCCCGCAGGCGCCTCCAACTGGGACGTTCCCTTCCCTCTGGACAATGACGAGGGGTCTCAGGAGTATCTAGCGAGGTGGGAGCGTGCGCGAACGAAGCAATTGGTCGTGCAGCTCGTCAATCTGATCAAGAGCGCGGCGCACAAAGCGGCTACGAAGGCGTATATGCAGAAGGTGAACCAGGCGCAAAAGGATCGTTCGCCGGCTCCGCCGTCGTCTGATCCTAATGTCATGGGCCACTACCGACCTGCTACCATGTTCTACGGAATGGAGCTTGAAGGACAGGCCCCAGCGGCGGGGTCGGGCGCTGTGGCGGGGGCACCAACGTCGCCGGGGGAGACAGCGGACTTGCAAGCCATGTTGGCCGATGTGAGTAATGGTAACGACGCAGTCAGGAGCACTACCCAGGGGTCGGCGACTGATCCCTCCTCCACGAGCGACACGATCTCGTACGACCAGCTCATCGCTTCATTACTCTCAGCTGCACCCGCATCGACCGATTCGTCCGCTGCAGAAACGAATACGGTGCCGCTCGAGTCGCTACCGAATGCGTCGTCCACTGCGGACGAGGGTTCGGTCGATATAGAAGGGTGGATGTCCTTACTTCAGTCCCTGCCATCCGTGAACAGTGGTGTTGACTCTCAGGGAAGCTCTGAGTGTTCTTCCGCCTCCCAAGGTTCCCATTACACTATCAGCAATGGCGCACAAACTCGACTTTCCAGCACCCCTGTTGCATCCGTCTCGTCCTCTCAATCGTCTTCCGACCTGGCCATTGATCCGTTCTTGCTCGCTCTATCTCAAGTGACCCCTAGTCAGCCTCAGGGACTACCCGATGCGTCACAGCTCCCTGTGCTCTCTCATTCCCCTGTCGCCTCCGCAAGTTCGGTCGCCGGTCCACCTACTCCTCCAAGCTGGGACGCTGGCACTTTTACTGACTCAAGCGGTCTGACAAAACCTACTGGTACGTTCATCCCTGGAAATATTTTACCCACCTCGGAAGACACTCTAATGCTCGGCTACCCAGGCGACGATCCCATGGCTGCCGCTACCATGCTTCTACAACTCGCGTCTGAACCGTCCTCTCAGCCGAGCCAGCAATCTCCTATTCAGCCTTCGATGCAAAATATCCCAAGTCATATACTACAATCCACAGCCGGCAGTCAAGCCAATTTATCATCCGCTACCCCAAATACTTGTGGTGTTGTCCCATATGCGCCTACGCATCCCTCCCCCGCCAATGCTGCTGCACCCGGGCCGTCCTCTCTCCCCGCGCGTCGCGTTGGCCGGCCACCAGTACCTAGCGCGAAGAAAATAGTCAAGGAGGATATCATCCTTCGGTCGAAGGAACGTCGGAGACAGCTGTTGGCGGAGATAGAGAGAGCGAAAATCCAGCTCTGGGAGACAACGCTGGAGCAGGGCGTGCTGACGCATCTGATCAAGGACAGTAGCTAGTCTCAATGTCTGTCTCATCATGAGCTGAATGTATATGTGGTAGTCAGTGAATGCACAGTGGTATAAGATTGACGTATTGTGATAGTGTCGGGTGCAGGCCCGCGTGACAGTTCCCCAAAGGGACTGACGGTGAGCACCCGTGTCGAGTTCAATGCACTCTGGAACACTCTCCGTGGGCGGCTCCGACAATGTCCTGCAGTACAACTCTTGCTCACTCGTCCATGCACATTATCACTATGAGAGAACTTTGACCATCCAAGCCGACGGGACTCGGACGAGCCAGTGGCTTCCTGGCTTCCAGTGTTTCACTAGGACCGTCGTCTTCGTCCTCGTCCTACGGATTGCATCGTTCCACGTTCTGGACCTCATCCATGTCCTTAACTATCGCTAAGCACACCAGGCCCCCGATCCTGATCTTACCCGTCCCGTTCAAGACTCTTAGTGCATCTGTTGCTACTGCTCGTGGTAGCTGCGGAGGTTTGTTGACATTACACGCTCGCTTCGTCTTGTACTGCCGAAATGGAACGGAGTGCTGGACCAAGAGGTGGTAAGTTCTCGAGCTCGTAGTCGATCGACCCTCCAGCTGTCCACATTCTCAATCCCGCCTCGTCGAGCCTCCTCCGTGACTTTCGGATACTGATTAGAATCGACTGAACTAGCATACTGAATAGTCCCGCCCATCTCAGCCGGAGCCCTCCGGCATCGTGCTCCAAAATTGTTATTGCGAAAGAGAGCTGCCGGTCACTGTCCATCACACCGCCTTTGCATCTGGCCTGTTGGTCCTTCTCTATTTCCGACTCCCTCCGCTGGCTTCATCATCGACGCCAGGCGAATGAAACATTCCCAGTCAGTTCAATATTGAGTTTCATGTCCTCTGCAGCTGCACATGCTTCTCCCCATTCTGTCCAATATCAGCCGCACCTTCATGTTTAACTTCTGCGACTTTTATGCGAAAGCTGCTTCCCTTCAGCCCTCTCAGTTATTCCGCTAATCCTGCCGTGCTTATAAGCATCGGAGGATTAGCGAATTGAGTGACAAGTCGCTTCCCCTCCCTCGTCACCCTGAAGGTCTGCAAGGCCGTGCGGGCACCTGGGCCGTCCTATTGCTTTTGGAGGACGAGGGTTCTCCTGGATATATTGTGAGGTGAGTAAGTGCGCGAATGAAGCAATTGACCGTTCAGCTCGTCAATCTTATCAAGAGCGTGCGACGCACAAGTGCAGAAGACGCAGAAAGTCCCTGCGCCACCTCCGCCGCTGTCAGGTTCTACATCACTTGGTCAGTACCAACCTCCTACTGTGTTTTATAGATGGAGCTAAATAGCATAGCCAGGAGCCGAGTCATCATCATCGCGAGAAGCAAATGTCTTGGAGTGAGGGCAGTGGACTTGCAGACTACACTAACGAATCTCCGCGGCAACGGCGCACGAGTCAGGGGTGCACCCGAGGGGCGGGGACGACTGATCCCTCCATGACGGCCACGATCTCGAATGACCAACTCATTGCCGGTTTTAACAGCTGCCCGCCTCGACCGACTTGTCTGACAGAGAGTGAATCATCATTACTTGAGTTGCTGCCAAATACATATGGCCCGAGAGAGGAGACTGCTCTCAATATCAAGGATGTGTATCTATAATACTACCAGTATATTTTCCGATACAGAAGTTGCCCGTACCCTGTCTGCCCATTGAATAGTCTCCTGATTCAGGAGGAATGAATAAAAATGCTGCCAGAGAGTACTGGTTGACAATATAAGTTGGTGATCTAATATTGTGGCACCTATCACCATCCAAATAATGTGGCCAATGTAAAGTCAATTCTCATACTGCATCTTCAGAATATCATCAAGGCTCTGGAGGCACCGGGCTTGACCACGCCTGTCACCAACTAGCTTGAACAGCTTTCTGGCCTCCTGAAGCTTTTCCACAGCCTCACTCCATTTCTGCTGGCTCTCTAGAACAACACCAAGGCACATGAGGCATTGGGCTAAAGCAAGTTTGTCTCCGATTTGTCGGAACTCCGCCCTGGCCTGCTCAAGCATTTTCACAGACTCAGGATATCCACCCTGCATCCATAGAATATCACCAAGACTCCGGAGGCATTGGGCTTGACCTAGTCTGTCACCAACTTGCTGGAACTGCTCTCTGGCTTGCTGAAGCTTCTCCACAGCCACAGGGTATTCCTCTTGCATCTTCAGAATATCACCAAGGCTCTGGAGGCACTGAGCTTGACCAAGTCTGTCACCAATCTGCTGAAACTGCTCTTTTGCCTGCTGAAGCTTCTCTACAGCCTCACAGTATTCACTTTGCATCCACATAATATTCCCAAGGCTCCGGAGGCACTGGGCTTGACCAAGGCTGTCACCAATTTGTTGGAATTGTCCTTTGGCCTGTTGGAGCCTTTCCACAGCCTCAGAATATTCACCTTGCACCCACAGGATATCACCAAGGGTTTGAAGACACTGGACTTGACCACTTCTGTCACCGATTTGCTGGAACTCCTCTCTGGCTTCCTGAAGCTTTTCTACAGCCTCAGGATATTCATCTTGCATCCACAGTATATCACCAATGCTTTGCAGACATTGGGCTTGACCATATCTGTCACCAACCTGCTGAAACTCCTCTCTGGCCTTCTGAAGCTTTTCCAGCCTCAGGGTATTCAGCCTGCATCCGCAGAATATCCCCAATGTTCTGCAGGCACATGGCTACTCCCTGTTGATGCTGGCATTCTGCATACCTGTTCATTGCTGCATATGCTTGAACCTGTGCCTTGGTATAGTTGTACGTGAATCTGAGTATCAATCCTGCCAATCTTTGACAGTCTGCTTGGAAGACTCTATCATCCAGACTCATTGACATTGGAATGATCAGATCAAGTAGTTCTGTGGTAGGTTTGTGGTGAAAAAGGAACCAGGACATCTCATAAGCTGCATGCAGTAGCTCTGAGGAGAGGCCACCTTGTCTTTGGGTTGCCTGCTTGACCAGTGCAATAATATTGCCAGACTCACTCATCAGGTGAGAGTCAATGCCATTTGGGTTCTTTGGATCATACTTGCTGATCAGTGTGATGTAATACTTCTCCAAGGCTTCCCTGTGAATTTGATGCAATGGATACTTTTTCAAGACATAATGCCGAATAGGGGATAGGGTATTTATGCTCCCACCTGATTCTTGAACCAAGCCCACTGCCTTCAGTGCCTTGAGTCCTTCATACCTGCCTTCCATGTGGGAAACCATATCTTGCAGGCTCTGCTGTTGCTGCTGCTTTGATAAGGCAAGGATCCCATCTGGAAGATATGATATAAGAGCCAGGAGGTCTATAGCTGATGTGGCCTTCTGGATTATCTTGCTTTTGAGGGATAAGTCAATTGACACTTCAAGATTGTTATTCTTCTCATCAGCTGCACCATGTTGGAGTAAGGATGTCTTCATCTCCTCCCACTGTACTATGAGGCTTTCCACAGATTCAGATTGTGCCAGATGTGACACAAGGGTGACTGCAAGTGGGATACGGTCCAGGCCATCCAATAGGCTATCCAAGGCTTGAATATCTTCACACTTCTGATTAAAGTGAAAAAAAATCTTCTTTGATGCTGCCATGGATAAAGGCTCCAGCTTCAGAAGCTGGCACCATAAAGCCTCCACAGGAGCAAAGTCTCCCCTCATAGTGATCATGACAGTCACTTGGGGAACTGCAACTATCCTCCTGAGGACTTCACCTACACCCTGGCTATTGCCTTCTTGATATGGTGTCTCGAAGTTATCCAGAGCAAGCAATAGCCTCGGAACACCCCTCAGAAAGATGTCTAGGCTAGTCAGAATATCCTCACCATCCCCCTTGTAGATTGGGAAGACAGTGATGATATGGGACACCAATAGATCAGCACTAGCAGCTGAATCACAAGGAACAAAGTAGATTTGCTCCCCAAAGGCATCCTTGATATCTTGATGATGCAGAACAGCTAGGGCCAGGGATGTTTTACCCATGCCACCAGGGCCAAGTATTGCAAGATTGGATTGTGGTTGAGACCAGGAGGATAGAATCATTTGTACAGCTTCTGAGACCTCCCTCTCTCTGCCGTGAAAGGCAGATGGCATGGGAGGGGGAGTTCTGGATAGGAATAGGCTATGAAGCCATTAGCGAATGCCTGCACCTGAAGAGAACAGACTCACTTGGGAGTGTTCTGAAGCTGATCACACTCTGAGCACGAGTCACAATTCTACAAGCACTGTTTAGGCATACCTGAGCAGAACCAGTAAGGACATCTAATGTTGTTCTAACATAGGTAATGTCACTTCCTATCTTTGCAAGCCCAATTTGCAGATCTATCAAACCACTCTCCTATACAAGCTATATCAACATGAATGACTTATATGGATAGTCCTGGATATACCATGAAAAGCTGGCGAGTGTCACTCAGATATTGGTTCCACCTGGAGATTGCATCTGAGTCGGACTTCCCGGCCAGAAACCGTTTCAGCCATCTCCGGCTTTTCATCTGTTCCATATCACAGCATATATCTGACAACTTACTAGTATACTGTGAGGAGTGCAATGTCAGATAAACCATCAACAAGGACTTACGACTGGAACATGCCAAGCTGCGACTGCAATTCACGGTTGATATCCCCCGCGTTCTTGCCCTTCAGGGTTTCTGCTACGTTCAGCATTATGTGGGCAGCTCTCTGCGCGACTTCCTCGCAGTTATGTTGGTTCTTCTTGGTGAGCTGAAATATAATTGAGACACGCATTAGCCCTCGGCTTGAGAGAATACGGGCAATCACGTACCTGCGCTGCCTCGACAATCTTGATCGCCATCTGCAGTCCGCCCTTCACGAAAGGCGTGTTTGTCGCGTCCGCGACCGTCGAGGTCACGTCCAATGTCTTCTGGAGGGCATCGAGTGCCTTCTCGCCCTTGCTTGGTCCCTCGTGAGCTCGCCTTGGGGCCATCGTCGCGAGTGGTCAAGAGGCAAGCCACCCGAGGACGCGACTGATGCTGTGCATTGTTGTGCACGTGAATGTCTCCTTGTCCTCGAGCTCGTCAACCAAATGAACGATATGATTTTCCGGAGTCGCAACGTACGCTCACTGAGATTCCCGCCGTAGCGAAGCGGCAAGATGTATACAAGTCCCGTAACAAGGTATGAGATGAACGGTCAAAGGGGAAAGGGGGCGGCAATGAGCAATAAATGCGAGGCATGTCTGCTGATACCTTGCGTACATCTTGGAACTCCAGTCCACTACCCACTGGATCCGCTCTCGTCCTCCCGTACAATCAAGCACAGGATCTCGTACAGCTATCCGGCCCTCCAGAATGCTCATTAGCACGGACCTTAATACAGCTGAGGACAGCTGTCATCTGTCCCGGGCGCGATAGCCTCGCCGCCAGAATATACACACCGGACACGCGATGACGGTCATACCGATGTATATCATACATCCAGAGGATGGCGCATTGAGCAGACCGAGCGTATGCCTGCTGCAGTTCGTAGACTCGCACGAGGGAAATGGGAGGAGACCGAGCTCGCCGATACACGCACGTGATCCTCGCGACATCCGCGACGCGTCCAACTCACCCACCGACGCCCACCATGGCCTCCGACGCCTCCCGCCCGACCCTCTCAAGTCTTGAAAACGAACGCGGAACACGCCGCGAGAAGGTCAAGAACGCGCTGCAGGAAGAGGAGGACCCGCTCGCGACATATCTCCAGTTCATCAAGTGGACGGAAGAGAACTACCGCGGCGAGCTGCTCGGACAGTCCGGCCTGCTCGTCCTGCTGGAGGAAGCGTGCCGGACCTTTATTGACGATGCGAGCTACAAGTGCGATCTCAGGTACTTCAAGATATGGGCGCGGTACGCCAGTCTGGTCGAGAAGCCGTCGGCGGTATACTCTTACCTCCTGGACAAAGAGATCGGGGTAGTCTTTTCGCAACTGTACGACGAGTATGCTTTGCAGTTGGAGAGGGAACGACAGTACGTTGTTTGAATCGTCTCTCAGAGCGTGTACTGACCGCGTACAGGTATGCCAAGGCCGAAGAGATCTACCAGAAAGGGATCAAACGCCGTGCAAGACCCATGGAACGACTACGCAAGAGCTACGAAGAATTTCAGAAACGATCAGCGAGTACGCCACGAACGGCACCTCCCAAGCTGCGCCAGCCCCGCTGCAAGTGGGCAGCTGAAGACGAGGCGCTCCGCCAGCACCCCCTGCGAAACATTAAACCCTCATCCTCGTTGCCATCTCTCCTGTCCTCGTCTTCCTCCGCCGCCCCCGAATCCTCAAACTCGATGTTCATACACCCCACGTGCACGGCAGAAGCACGCTACAAGGTCATGACCGCCCCTCCGCCTGAAGGGAAACGTCCCGAGAAACGGCGCTTCAACTTTGACCTGCTCTGGACGAAAGAGGGTGTAGAGTACAGCATCCAAGAGGCCAGGGCGCGCTCAAAGGGCCTGCTCAACAAGAAATGGGACCCCGATCCCGTCTCGATACAGCGCGTGCAGTTCAACGACGACGGGCAGAAGACCTCGCGGGGGTACACCACCACGGGCCGAAGGCTGCTCACAGCCGGAGAACCTACTGTTACCATCAACACCAAAGAAGCGTTGGCAGATGTGTTTGGCATGTACAATTCCCCGGAGAAGTCGATGCGGTTTGCGAACGTCGCCGGGAGTAAGCACGCGCCGGTCAAGAAGATCGAGCCTATGGCGCCGCTTGTCTTTTCCGCGGGTCAATCGCGGTCGACTACTAACGAGAACCCAATGCCACATGCAAACGCTCCAGCGAGGACGCCTCGTAGGTGTTTCGCCCTGCCTATGATATAAGTGTCTGATTTGAGCCTCTCTAGTGCAAGCATTCCGACCTTTCACAGACGAGAATGCAGACGCAGACCTTCCCCGGAGCCGCGCTACATCGGACGAAAATTCCGGAGCACATCCCAAGACGCCAGGTCAGTGACATACCGTGGATGTCAACGGTCAAACGAGTACTGACGCCCCGATGGCATCACAGTATTCCGGCCGTTCGTCGAGGAGGAAAAGGTGAACAACGCCAGGCCAGGTGAGCAAATGCAAGTGTCTCGCGAGAAAATGACTGATTTCTCGGTGGCACGACAGCTTTCCGGCCTTTCTTGGAAGAAACTGCCAAGAGCAGCACTCCAGGTGTCTTCAAGGTGCGTCTTTCGCCGACTGGGATGGCACATATCATATAACAACGGTGAACTCCTTAGACCCCAGATGCGGGTAGGCGAGCCTTGGCTATGAAAGATAGCTCCGCCTCGAAGGACGGTCGGGACGAGAACGCGCCTGCGCTGAGGGTACCAGTCTTCAAGCCTCTTTCTGAACAAGCCATTGTCTTTAGGCCGCCTAGCGTTGAGGAGAAGCCGGCCTTGGGCGGCACTTCGATTGCAGCGACAAAGCTGCCTTCAACAAGCCAGGCCTTCACGCCCTTCAGGGAAGCTAACGGGCCTGGTCGGGTGTTCAGCCGTCCCTCGGAGAACGCCTTTGTGCCTAAGCGGAGCGTCCTTGGCGAGAAGGCTGGAGATAGGCTCGATGAAGTTCCACCGAGTAACCGCCTACCGTTGCGGCAGGCTTTCACACCGTTCGTAGAGGCAGATCCTGAAGACAACTGGGATCCTAGCGAAGACAGCTGGGACGACGAGGAGCAGGAGCAGGCAGAGTTCCAGCCGGCGGAGGAGGACGAGGGTTTCTCCTCTAACCCTACGGAAGACGAGGAAGAGAACTACGAGTATCAGGAGGAGCTCGAGCCGTACCACACGAGGGAGGCGCCCCTTGGGGGCCGCTTCGGCAGCTTCGATATTATGACGCCCATCACGGAACGCACGTACGAGTTCACCATGAGCACGCGTGCGTTCACGCCGACCTCAACCGCGGAAAGAGCATTTCTGGAGGAAGATGCTCACGACGCCGCTGAGCAGCTAGCTGAAGAGCTCCGAACAGAACGGGAATGGGCGGAATACCGAGAGGCGTCGGTTCCCCACAACGGCACTGCTCCCGAAGAAGAGCAGCACAGATACAGCTCTTTAGGCGAAGAGAATGTTCCTCCTTTCCGAGTCTCTGACGGTCACACTATACCTCTACCACCGAACCAGGTGTTCACGGCTCCAGAACCGCCTCTCCCGCGGCAGATGGGCCGCCTCAGCCTGTCCGACACTCTGCTCACCGTGTCGTCGTTTGTCCCGCCAAATCCCTGCAATCCGTTCGACCCGGACATCATTCAGACCCTGCTGGGCATAAGCCCTCGTGACGCGTCCTGCCATGACTTGAAGCAGGAGAATGCTGGGCAGCTAGAGAAGTTGCAGAAATTCGCCGAGAAGCGGCAAAGAAGAAGCAGCGGCAACACCAGCGGAAACACTAGTCGACTAGCGGACACCCTGGACGTCTTCGACCTGCGCATTGCGGACAGTCGGTTCGAAGTAACCCACAAACTAGGCGAGGGCGGCTTCGGAGCAGTTTTTGCCGCCAAGGACATATCTTCGAGGACTGACGATGACGACTTCGAGGACGACGATGAAGATGCTTCTCTATACGCTATCAAGGTAGTCAAGCCGCGAAATCTGTGGGAATACCACATCTTGCGGAGGATCCATCGCACGCTGTCTCCCCGGTTGAAATGTTCCGTAGTTCAAGCACACGCCCTCTACGCTTTCCACGACGAGAGCTATTTGATCCTTGATCTCTGCCCTCAAGGGACTCTACTAGACGTGGTCAACAATGCCAGCAAAATGAGCGTGTCTCAACAGGGTGCCTGCCTTGACGAAGTCCTGGTGACCTTTTTTAGTGTCGAATTGATACGCCTCATCGAGGGAATGCACAGCGCTGGTATCATCCATGGAGACCTAAAGATAGACAACTGTCTCCTCCGTCTGGAAGACGCGCCTGGCGGTCTATCAGCTTGGTCTACCATCTACCAACCATCTGGAAAAGATGGCTGGGAATATAAGGGCATCAAGTTGATCGATTTCGGACGCACCATTGATACACAAGTATTCCCGGCAGGCCAGCAATTCATAGCTGACTGGCCTGCGGACGCCCGAGATTGCTTCGAGATCCGGGAGAACAGGCCATGGACCTACCAGACGGACTACTTCGGTCTGGCTGGAATAATATATTGTCTCTTGTTCGGGAAATATCTGGAGAAGGCCGCTATAGTCCCCGTAGACGATGCGGCGGGACAAGAGGGCTGCCGATACAAGCTGTCCACTCCCTTCAAGCGCTACTGGAACACTGATTTGTGGAGTCGTCTGTTCGACCTTCTGCTGAATCCTTGCTTCGTTCGCGAGGACGGTAAACTGCCACTCTGCGAGGAGATCAGTGTATTGAGGAAGGAGATGGAGGCATGGTTAGAGAAGAATTGCGATCGAAGTTCGGGTTCATTACGGGCCCTGCTGAAGAAGATAGAGAAGTTTGTGAATAGCTGAGATGCTTGTAGATGTTTCATGTCATTTTTGTCACGGCGTATTGATGTTTACTCATGTCACCTTCATGTTTTTGCTTTTTACTTTATGGAGCTCATCAAAGTGCGATCGTATTCCCACCGAACAATAGCTACATGAAAGCGACTTTGAGCCCATGGAGTGGACGATACCTGGACGATCTACATTCCCACTGGCGGGGCCGGTGCTGTGGGTGCAGCTTCGTATCCGTGGGGAGGCATTCCAGGCTGCATCATCATAGGATACGGCACGGCGTGTTGAACTACGAAATAATGAGGCATGACACCAAGGTCAGGCGTGACCGACAACTTACGCTGGGGACTCTGGTGATAGTATGGATGCGCGTGAGCGGGGATGGGAGTGGGGGGCATTGAAGGTCGATGAGCAGCACCGTTCGGAGCAGGGTAACCAGGCGGCGGTGGCATGTACGCTTGAGGCGCTACACAATTTATTATTTCATTATTCGATGATGAAAATTATTAGGGCAACATACGTGGCATCTGCCCCATCTGGGGCGAGGCGTACATTGCTGCAAAGCCTAATCAATCGTCATTCGCACGGCACACGCAAGAAAACCATACCGTTTGGAGGGAGTGCATAAGGATAGGCCATATGTTGCATGTGGGGGCCGGGCATGTAGCCTGGAGGTGGAGGTGGCATACCTGGCATCATAGGCTGGAGAGGAATTAAGACTTGGTTTACATCCGCTTGAATGCATGTGAGCGCACCTGGCCGGGGTATCCATAAGGTGGGTAAGCGTAGACAAATCCACGAGGAGCTTGAGGAGCCTGTGTAGGGTCTTCTTCGTATGACTGAGGCGGCATGGGCGGAGGGCCAGGAGGAGGGATGTGAGGAGATTGCTGTTGAGGAGGGACGGTGACCGGAGGGAACATAAGCATGTATCGCTTGCCGTTATACGGCCAGAGCGCATCTTCGTCGCAATACGTAAGCATGGCCACAATATCACGGGGTATTCAGTCATTACTTACTGACGGCCGACGCTTCCGCAACCTTGTTGTATTTGAAAGGGTTGAAGTCGTCCCTGATCGACACAGCAGGGGTCTTCTTGATGACACGAGGGCCAAAGAATGGGTTTGGAGGAGCAGACTATCACAGGTCATAAGCGTCCGTAACAGATGATCCCATCGAGCAACCTACATTGTCCACACCCTTGCCCTTGGGCGACGCAGGGCTGGCCGAGGGGTTGGGAGATGTTGTTGTCTGTCAAAACAAGGCAAGTCCAGTTAGTTCCGACCTGCCCATTGCACACCAGTAAGAACATTACAGGCGTGAAAGCCACGGCCTTGGGGTTTGGCTTAAAGGACGGAGCATTCACACTTAGCCGAGCGGTATTAGGAGATGGCGGCGCTGCACCACCAGTAGTTGCACCCGTCGAGCTCGCCGCACTCGCGGGAGCCTGACCATTTCCATTTGGCGTGGACTTCTTGCCCTTGAACGGTGGAATGGGTTGGATGTACATCGAAATTCGCTTGGCACTGTCCGTCTTCACAGCCGCCTTAGACACAGCTGCACTGGCAGATGTCGAGGCCGGAAGCGTAGGCTTCGCCGCACCGGCTCCAGCCGTGGTTTTGACGGCCGACAGTTTCGGGGTCTGAGCGGGGGATGGCTGCTGCAACCGCGACGAGGGTGACGGGTTCATAACCGACGTCGTTGATGTGCCAATGGCGCGAGCCTGGGCCGACGCAGCATCGCGAGCAGACTTCTCCCGGATCTGACGCTGTTTCTCCTCGTCCTTGGCCAGGATAGACACCAGGTCTTCAGGGATGGGTTTGTTGAGCTTGCCGGGGGTGCCGCGTGTCAACATAAAATGGGTTGAACATCCGTCTCTACACACACCTTGAAGCTCTGACTGAACTTGAGAAGTTCTGCCCTTCGCTTGTCCAACTCATTCTTCACCAGCGCCTGCTTCTTCTGCGTAAGCCTCTCCTTCTCAGTCGTGACAAACTGCCTGAATGCGGGCAGCGGATCGGCAGGCGGCTGCAAACATCAAGGAAGGATACAGGGCAATAGAGGAATAACAAATCAGCGTCTCTGCGACATTCACGACAAAAGGTATGACTGAGTCAGAAATTCTGCTTTACCTTGTTCGTCTGAGTCTGCGATGACCCAGCCGGAGCCGGAGAAGTTGCCTTCGGCGGCGTGCCACCCGGCTGTGCTTGCTGGACAGAACCGTCCGGTGCATTGACGGAGACTTTGGGGATCTCGGTCTTGGGTGCCGCAGAACCTGAAGGTGGGCCCTGTCCTGGTTTGCGGGCACCCGGGGGTACGTATGCATTAGCACTACGGACGACTGCACCGTACCTGGGCCGAAAAGTCAGACATACTAATTGGCACCGAGGGACGATCACACTCACTTGTCCTCCTCATTGCCACCGGCTCCATCCGCCAAGTCCTGAGTCCGCTCTTCCGCAATATGTGGATTGTTGGTAGTAGCCTAAGGTAAGTGGACACGAATGGGAGATACGTAGGCTGCTGTTGAGGTTCAGGAGTCACGTGAGAAACACTCGATGCTCACCCCCATGATTTCGTTGGCGATCCTCTGAGCCTCCCGCTCTCGCTCCTTAAAGTCCGGACGCGAGCGGTCCAGCTTAGTTGTGTAGAGGTTCTCGTCAAAGTCCGTCTTGACACCGAACAGAGTCTCGTTCACGGTGAACTGATCCCATTTCAGGCCAGTGCTGGAAGCCCCAGGCCCAAACGTGAGGTCGTCCGTGTTGGTGAGGTGGGCGTTCAGGCCACCCGGCGGGAGAGGGGAATCCGCCCACGCTTGCAGCTCGCGTTCCCGGCGAGGAGCCGCTTTTTGGCTGATGTCGGTATCCGTCTTGAACGCTATAAAATGCATTGTGGCATCACCAGACACAATGGATAAGCAAATGACCTCAACGCACTGTCACCGTTTGTGGGACGAGCGTCTGCTGGTCCTGACGCCCATGTGTCAATGTTAGTTGAAGCGATAAATAAGCGGTCCCTCAGGGGCGCCCCAGGATTCGTAACCTCCTTGACGTCTTTGAGCGTAACACCCGTTGTATCACCCTCACCGCTGGTGGAGGCGATGGTCCCCTCATATCGTTGCGCAGTCTTGGTCGAGAGCGTGACGGTCGTTCCCTGTCAACCACGTGTCTGAGCAGGGGTATCGACGAAAAAGCCAAATGCAACGCACAGTTAAACCGGACAATGCCTGTAGAATACGATCACTGGCGTCGGGGGTGCGGGTGCCGTTCGGCTGGTTCAAGGGCGGGAAGGCACCGCCTTGGGGGCTGGTAGGGAGTCGGACGGGGTTCGAGGCCGGTGAGAAGGCAGGGGATGCGCGACCGCCGGAGCCCCAGGCTGAGGGTCGTCTGCAGGAATGGGAGAAGAAGAGAACCAGACGCGGTAAACGACACGTCCGAGAGAACCCGAGCGAAATAAAGCACAGACCGGCTACCGTCCGGGGCGCCACCCCTCCCCCTCGCAGACTTGGGTTGCCGAGCAGTGGTGGCCATCGAGTGAGAAAGCGATCTGAAAAAATATCGAGTAGGAAAAGAGAGAGAGAGAAACGGAGAGCGAGAAACAGCGGGAGAGTCGTGAACTGGCGATAACGCAGAGTCGGGGACGCGACTCTCGAGGGGATGAAACGGTCAAGGCCCGGCCGACGGCGAGAGCGACGAGGAAGACGACAACGAATACACGCTGGTCGTCAAGACAGACAGCGACGAAAGGCTAAGCAGCCGTAGCAGGATGGCCGCAGGGCTTTGGATAGAACAGAGCTTGGGTCTGGTGAAAGCAGAGAGTGCAACGGTCAACGCTAACCGGGGGGCCTCGACACCTCCACGGCTTTGCTTCCGCTGGGACCCCGGCCACCCCTGTATATCCCGCCCCCTCCCGCCGCGGCCACCCATTTCCTGCCAAACATTCATTCCTGTCGCTGTCTCTCACATTTGTCGGACACGACCCACGCATGCTGCTCGTCTGGATCGCGACGCGGTCGGGGACTCACAAACCTCACAAACTGACCGCACGCAAGCCCGGGGTCCGAGCTCGTGTCGCGTATAAACGGACACGGCAAATAACGCTAAACACGCTACGTGATGCTTCTCTTTTCATCATCCAACAGGAAATCCGAATGTATTTCATGGACAGACACAGCTCACAGGACTCGCCTCGCATCTGTTCCGTCGAGTGACCGCCTCGAGCCTGGCGAGAGCCACGGTCGTTGCAAACGCGACTGCTATTCTCCCAGGGCACTCTATTTGTGCCGTGCCGTGAACAGGTCATTTCACTGTAAATGACGATCCCAGACGGCCAGCGCGTGGCCTCCAGTAGGCTCAGCACAACATTGCGCCGAATACCCGGCTAAACCCGCTTTGCTTCGTACTGTCGCATCTGCCACATTGTAGGAAAACAAAGTTTGGTGACCGATGAAGACGCAGCTCGCCCTGATGCATCTAAAGATCAACAGTCCGCGGTCAAACATGGCCGCGTCCTCCATCCAGGCGCTGAAGGACATATATTCCAAGTTACAGTCCTTCCGGGCGCCATACCCGACTTGCAACCTGTGATATCACCATGCACGATGCCAGATATACTCTGACTCACGCACCTGTTGGTCGAAAGTTGTTGTACTGGGATACACCGGTCCGCGACTCGTGCACACTACGCACCTAAACAGACGATGCAGCGACGCATCCAGTGCTCGTACGAACGCTCCTCTGTTCAGAAGAGGTGCCCCCCCTCCGGCGTTCGGCCACATACTCTGATCTTTAGCAAGATTGACAAAAATAAGCCAAACACTCCCTGTCATCATTCTCCTGAAACATCACGGGGGCGGCGGACACTGCACTCACACCATAGCACAGACATACCGTCGTATTTGCCCATGATTGGGTGTCCAGGTCCCTACGAGCACCCCCGTAGGGCATTCTGACATCTCCGAGATTGGACATTGTTCCGCGCACCGAGCATGAATATAAGTGTGGTTGGAGAATTAAATCACATAAATCGCCGAGCCATTGAGGACTTGGATCTGGCTGCGCGCTGCCCTTCGTCCTGCCTTGTTCCACGCACAGGAGGCAGTCACCCGAGTCCTGATGGTCGGACCTGCCAGCTACCGTTCCGCTAGAAGGACGCCAGAACTCGACCAGGATCCAACCAAACATCCTATCGCCCTCGTGGTCTTCTAGCGAATAGCGGAATAAGACTGGGGTAACCCCCCACTACGTCCAGGACGGTCAGAGACGACGGTATACAGGGGGAAGGCTCTTTCATCCAGTCCACTTCAGTCCGAAGGGCAAAGATTTCTTGTGACCTTGGGATCCCAACAGATACTTATAACGTAGTGAACCCTAGACAAGCCGAGCCATAGACGGGTACATGGGGGCGCGCAAGGCTCCCAGCGGGACCTTTGAACCTCTATTAGTTGCGTATTTCATCGAAGACTGGAATATGATGCCCTGGAAGGTACGGACACTCTTGCGGTGATTCGTGCGCGGGCCAGCGATCGGCACAATGTCTGTCTGCACGTTTACTGACCTCCTTTGTTTGGTTCGCCAGCCTGTACCGTATCACCTGGGGGAGACTATCCGAGTCCGTCGAGAAATTCAAGAAGTCGCCCAGATGCAGAATGACGTAGTAGTCTCCTTCAGCCATGCAGGAGCAACTGTCCAAGGTCCTACCACGGAAGACAGAACCAAGCCGGATTCTCCGTGGAATGCGGGGTCGTGGGCACAAAGTCTGAATACAGCGGGCTAGACATATCGTGAGCCCACGAGTCTCTAGGTGATCTCCTAGCAACCTGGACCGTTCTCGTTCTCGTTGTCTGATTTTTGTTTCCTAGCATTCATGAGACGAAGGACAGATCTACAGTCTCGCCAGCCGGAGGGTCATCAAGCAAGCTGGTGGGTACGGGCATGGAAGCCACAAAACGCAGTCCAACGTCCTTACAGCTTCAGCAACTCTTCGGACGCGAGATGCAGAGCGCCACGCCGAGCAGCTCCAGTAGCTCGACGCAGCCAGTTAGTGACGAGATCGTACGAGAAGACGTTGACAAAAGTCGAAAGGGTATCCGTGTCTGCAGGGGATGGCTGGCCGTCCTACGAGAGCAAGTCCCGAGCAGCACGCGAGAAAGAGAGCCAGTCGCAGAACTAGCTTCAGCTCGTGCTGGAGAAAGTAGATCGCATCCGTCGCTGGAGTGGGATCATAAAGCAGAGCCCGCTCGGCCTCGGAGAAGAACGCGAGCAGATGATCTGTAACCTTGCGATCGATCCCAAGTCGCAGGGCTCCGAGTTCATCCTTGTTGAAGTTTGAGCATCCAAGCAGGGGCGACTCCAGAAGTCGGATGAGATGATGACAAGGACATCAGCGAGGTACAGGGTGCCAAAGGGATGGGAAGAGTGGCATCGAAGCAGAGGCGGGGTGACCATCGTGGATAGGTGGTGCCGTCGGTTGTTGCGCTTGAAAAGATGGACATGGGATCCCGGAGGGCAGGCACCCACGGAGTGAAACAGTGATGGCGCGTCAGGTAATGTAACCTGGGAACCGCAATGGGAACGATTGACGCGTCCACAAGCAGGGTATTATCGTCCGTTATCGAGGAAGCTATTCATAGAGCTAAAGGCATTATCGAGTAGGACAGCTCCTGCAGGGTGACGTTTTGTTCAGTATACACAAGGTTACAATTTATAACTTTACCTGCGTCCATTCATCGCGGAAGACTAGCAAGGGAAAACGCTGTGATTAGACCTACGAGGCGAGTCTAATCGATGGAATCGCACCACAACCAGCCCGAATGCGTTGTACACATGCGTCCGAGATAGCTGCCGAAGTTGACTCGAAGAACGGCAGGATATGATTACAATTATACTTTGGTCTTCTAGTCGAAAGGTGCACTTTTATATGTCCGTTCTCGAGACGATTCTGAAGACGACGTCCATTTCGCTTGTACATCGACTCTAGAAACGCGCAATATGGACAAAGAGAGTTAATTGTGGAAGTCGCCGAGGAGTGACAGGATCAGCGCAGCGGGTGACCATCGTCCGACGGGTGAGTACGCCATTGTTATCGTCGAGAGTCGCAGAGACCGTGCGATCGTGCGCGGACGCTGTCGGGCCCATGCAAGAGACGATCGCGAGGGCTGCACAGCTTGGGGAAGGGCGATGCGGGGAACAATTCCCACGGCCATATCGCGGGTGCAGACGACGCGGAAAGGCATCGATCCGGGCTGCCAACTATTACAGGGTTGCATAATTCGCTCGGTATGAGACTGGCCGTGCTTGTCGGCGCACCGACTTGTCCTTTGATACACCTCCCAGAGCCGACCGCACTAGATTCAGGCAGTCAATAGGCATAAGCGTATAGCACCGGGGGGACGCTCCTCCGAACCTAGCAAATGCGAGACTGGCGTTAGTCGGTGCCGCTCTTGGAGCGACACGCGCAGCTGATGGCAGGCCCGCTGTCACCAGATGCCATCTTCGCCTACGAATCCCAGTCTTGGCGGCCTGCGCGAGATATGTGCTCGCGGGCTGGCCACCGCGCGTGACCACGAGCGACGGCGTCAGCTGAGCGCAGACGGTCGCGGGGACTGGGCAGGCGCAGTGTGCCTTGCCACCCTTGATCGCTTCCTCGAAGCCAGTCCTCTGCTATTCCCAATCCGCGCGCGTTCCCCACACTCGGTCACGTTCCTGGCACTACCAGAATCGCTACAAAAGCTGGCAGCACGTACCGAGGTCTCTCCTTGCCCCCCACCCCGTCCCCCGCCATGCCCATTGTTGCTGGGAAGCTCCGTCGCGCAGACATACACCCCCGCGGGCGCGCCTTGAAGCTCTGGGAGAGGCAGCGGCGCAAGAACGTCCACTGGCTGATGGAGTGTTTCGCCGAAGCAGTGAGTTCACCCACCGCACCCTCGCACCCATCCTTATCGCCCCACAGCTCGGCGTCTTCTTCTACGTCTTCGCTGGTCAGTATCGCTCGTCGACGCCTGTGCACATCGACTCACCCTCCTTCAGGTGTCGGATCGCAGGCAGGCTTCGTCCTCGGCGGCCTCACCGACCAAGCCGGCGTCTCCTGTGAGTCCCTCCCCACCCTCGATCCCCGCACGCACCTCACATCCCCCGCAGCGATCCTCCAAGTCGGCTTTGCCTACTCCATCGGCATCGTCCTCGCCCTGGTCGTCTGCGCCCCGACCTCCGGCGGCCACTTCAACCCCGCCATGACCATCACCGCCGCCGTCTTCCGCGGCTTCCCCTGGAAGAAGGTCCCTCGGTGCGCCTGCCCTCTCCCTCCCTGTACCAAAACAACCCGCTCACTCACCTCCCGCCTGACGCAGCTACATCATCTCCCAGATCCTCGGCGGCTACATCGCCTGCCTGATCATCTACGTCCAGTACCGCGCGCAGATCCAGGTGAGCACGCAACGCGTACCGCCGCCCGCGCCGCTCACGTCCGCGCAGGAAGTCTCCGCGGCGCTGCTCGCCAAGGGCGCGCTCGACGCGGTCAACTTCACGCCCGCCGGGCCCGCGGGCATCTTCGGCATGTACGTCGCGCCCGGCAGCAACCTCGGCTCCGTCTTCCTCAACGAGTTCGTCTGCGTGCGTGCCCCGTCCCGTCCCGCCCCGCCCCGTACAGTGAGCGCGTGCGCTGACGCCCCCCCCC